CCTGGCTTGCACTGTTGAGGCCTACTCATTGCTGTCCCTGCCTCAGTCAGGCCTTGTAGGCCACGGCTGAGCCTCAGTCAGCTCACCTGAGGAATGGGTGAGTGGGGGCTTCCCCACAGGCTTGTGGGAGGCACGCTGTGGCATGGCCAGCTTCTTTTCTGTCCTCTATTCTCCCTGTATCAGCATCAGCCCACTGAGCTGCCCACAGGCTTCCCGGGACAGTCGTGATTCAGATCTTCATTCAAAGTAGAGACCCACAAGGGGGAAGGAGAGAAAGGACTCCTGAAAATTGTCGCTTGATTTGCACAGATGAGATGTAATGCATGTGCACATCCAAACACATGCATACACTCAGGCACACAGCACGCGCGCACACACACATACACAGCAAATAAATGTAAATAAATAAAAGTCTTTTGAAGGGAGGAAGGAGCAGAGGCCCAGAGAAGTTAAGTGACTCACTTAAGGTTACACAGCCAAGAAGGCAGCTGCTCTGGAACGAAACCGCCAGCCAGCCAGCTCCACAGGCCAGCTTTTCCCTGCACCCTGTCCTCGCAGGAGGGAGGGGGGTCCCAATGGTAGGGACCAGTTTTTCCTGGCCCTGTCAGCTGCTTAGAACTCTATATGGGGACCAAAGGGGTCAAACCTGTGCTGGGAAAGCCAGAGAGAGGAGCCTGGGAGGAAGCTACAGTGACAGTGGAAATGAGATCTGGGCTTAAATCCCAGGTAAGGGGAAAGAGTTAGAGGACAGGCATAGAGCAGGGAGCCATGGGCAGGTGGGCCACGGGCAGGTGGGCCACGGGCAGGGAAGGGCCACGGGCAGGGAAGGGCCACGGGCAGGGAAGGGCCACAGATAGGCGAGAGCCAGCAGCTCCCACAGTCTCTGCTGTCATCGTCAAAGTCAGGAGACCTGAGTGGCACCCACAGAGTCCACTTAAAATGAGGGATGGAGCTAGTCCCGCCTCTGCTCTAAAGCCACCCTCAGCCTACAGTGGTGGTCCGCACATACTCTGCCAGCTGCAAGGCCTGAGCAATCCAGCCACCCCATCTTCGAGAGATGTGTAAAGACAAGCCACATGCTTTGTTGGGTAAGTGGCCAGTGGCTGCATCGCTCCTGGGGACCTTGGACTTGACTTCCATGGCAGAAGGAAGAGAGAATGCCAGCTCCCTGGGGTAGGAGGAGCTAGGCTGGGGTGGGAGGAGCCAGGCTGGGGTGGGAGGAGCCAGGCTGGGGTGGGCCTGTGAGGGCAGTAGAATCTGTACACCCACCCAGCTGCCTGCCACCATTCTCTGGAGCCAGGAGGAAAAGCTTGTGGTTCTATACGAAGAGAGAGCATGTACACTGAACCATTGTAACAAGAATCAACTCCACCAAAGGGGCTCGGTGGGGATGAGCAGGGAGAGGGGAGGAGAGGGGAGGCTCACTGCTAATGTGGGGTACCCCTTTATCTTTGGAGTAACCACACTCCTATCTACCCCTCAGCACAATTGCTCATGGTTGGCAGGGTGCCTGGACTCTCCTTGATAGCTCTTAGGAGGTCACAGGTGGTGGTGTTGGGCCTGCTGTCAACTGAGCTCAGCCATTGGCTCCTGCTCTTGCTTCTTTGGGTAGCACTGTGACCTGGGCTTCTCCCAGCAGGGAATGTCCTGGCCACGAGGACATGTCAGGATGTGGAACCACCAAGCAGGCTCAGGGCCACCTTGAGCTCTTGTGACAGCAGGTCCAGGTTCAAAGAGACACAGATGTCATGGCTTGATGGGGATACTCAAGGACACATACAGACAGATAAGGGACAGGATGAAAGGCTGCGGCCATCACTGGGACGATTGTTAAGTCTGGCAATACAAGTTCAGAGAGAACACACCAGGTCCCCTTGGGCTCCAGACAACTACCCCAGAAAAAAGAGATGGTGGCAGGACTTCCTCAGGGGTAGGGACAGTGTCTCACCAGCCCCGAGCCCTCTGTAGCCCCATGGGAGCCTAATGCAAAGATTGTACGACCCAAGGACATCTGCAGGGAGCCAAGTGCAGAGAGCCAAGTGAGAGGTTGGTTTATCTTCCCCGGGAAGTCCTTGAGAGTACTGCAAAAATGCCAACTGTCCCCATACCAAGAGGGGCAGAGGTGACGAATCTGTGTAGCCCTCCCGAGGGTGACATCAGACTGCTTTTGACACGCTGGAGGTAAGAGCGTGTGTGCGCGCCTGTGTGTATGCACATGTGTGTGTGTATGCACATGTATGTGTGTCTACGTATGTTTATATGCATGTGTATATGTGTGCATGTGGACTCAGGGAACAATTCGGTCACTCCCTGGCTGTTGCCCACCTAGACTCTTTTGGCAGGGTCTCTCACTATGCTAGAACTTGACAAACAGGTCAGGCTGGACAGCGAGCCTCTGAGCTCTGTATCAGTCCCTACCTCCTCAGCACTGGGGTGACAAGAGCAAGTCACAACTAGCTTTTTTTTTTCTGTTTTCAGTGAGGGTTTAGGGATGGAACCTGGATCCTTGTACTCCCAAGCCACTTTTCCATCCTCCTAGGCCCGCTAAATGTTTGCTGAATGATAAATGCCTGCAAAGACTCAACAGCCATCTGGATTGTCCTCTGGTACCTGCTCCAAAGTGGTGGTTACATGAACTCCCTCAGTTCCTGAGAGGAGGAGGAAGACATTGTTGGCTGAGGCTGAGGTATACAGTGCCATGTTGCAAACTAGTGACATGCCTGCCACCTGGCACCCAGTAACTCACTGGCTCTCAGAATCCCAGGGGGCTCAGACACAGCAAGTCACTTGCCAAAGTCACATATGTCCATCACAGGAACCATCCCTAAACTGCTGTGTTCTCATTAGGCTCAGGTGACCATCTCTGCTCCAGAGCAGCCCAAAGGGCCCAAAGAGCAACCCACAGGCCCCACCCTCCAAAGAGGAAGCTGCTATCGAGGGGCCTGCTGGTGTGGCCCTGAGGTCTAGGGGGCAAGATGGTGCACACACTGCTTGGAACTGTCTCACCTCAAATTTAGCAAAAAACAAAACTTTTAATTTAGATGTTTGCATCTCTCTGTCTCCAAGCAAAAATAACTCTAAGATAATGACTGTAATAAATGAAGGTAATTAATTGTGGTTTGTTCCTTTAGTGTCTAGTCAGCTTAATTTTACCTTTTCAGCTAATAATGAGAAAATAATTTTTGTGCGTGGAGGGTTAATGACATGTAACTGTGAGAGCCGCTAATTGCATGTTGCAATCCATCCATCAGCGGCCTCATCTGCGTGCCTTGATTATGTTTGCTAAATTATTGCTTTGAATTATCTTTCATAAAGGCAACTTTTATAATTAGTGGGGCTTTCTGGCTGGCTCCCTTTCTCTGCTCAAGGATTTTCAAACTTTGGCCATTTCAAGCTGGCTCCCGGAAACCACCTTCCCCGGCTGGCTTTAGTTTTCCTGGGGAGGTGTGTGTGTGTGTGTGTGCGCGTGCGTGCGTGCGTGCGTGTGTGTGTGTGTGTGTGTGTGTGTGTGTGTGTGTGTGCTCTAAACTGTCCCCTTCAGCAATCAAGGGAGACTTGACTCACAGTGGACCCAGCCCACTCCCTCCCCACCACACCTCCCATAGGCAGGAAAAAGGATTCGGGGAGAGGATTAGCAACTCTGCACACACCAAGGCTGCTGGACTGGAAGGCAGGAGCAGCCCTGACAGAGATGCTCAAGTGTCACCTTGATTTGGCTCTGTGGCCGCTTCTCTCCCCACAGGGGTGAGGAGGGACCTGCAGCCATGGCAGTTCAGTGAGGTGATGACCAGGAAGGCAGTCGAGGTAAGTTCTGTGGGTGCGCGGCAGGAGAGGTCCCTGGGAACAACTGTCCGCACACGCACCACCTGCCACCCGATGCTCCTTCACTGGATCTGTAAACTTTGGCTTTGTGTGTCACAGGAGGGGAGTTGAGGTTCCCAGAGCTCAGAGAACCTCTCTCTCCAGGGCCACACAGCTGAAGGAGCAGGGCTGAAATCCCAGGCCCCGCCGTCCATGAGGCTGCGCCTCGGGTCTTCTCATCACTTCCAACATTCAAGTCTTCTACCGCAAACGGGAGCCACAGTCTCTCCACCAGCCTCGGGTGGCCTCCACCTTCCCGAGTGCTGGGATCATAGGTGGACGCCACCACTCCCAGCTAATTCCCAGCACACTGTTCCAAACGCTTCCTTGTTATTTTCCTTGCTCCCCGCAATCTTACGAAAGAGAGAAAAATACCACCAATTGGACAGAGAGGCGCAGAGAGGCCAAATGACTTCCCTGAGATCACACAGCCAGTAAATGGTAGAGGCAGGGTTCCAACCCCAGCTACATTCCTCCAACACTCGGAGAGAGCCAAATGGGTGTGTCTACCCCTTTCCTGCAATCTCATTATCCATGTCCAACACAACACAGGATGACCAGAAGTCTCTTTATCCCCATGGTGCAGACAGGGAAATGGAGGTTTCTAGAGAAAACCTGCCCACACCAGAGTTCATGGACACACAGCTGCTGCCTCTGTGCTTATGTGGTTCTGAGGGAGAGACGGCTCTGAGGAGTGGGGAATGGACAGGAGCCCTGCCCTCCATCTGGGGGGGGGGCTGTGTGTGGGAGGGTTTATCTGAGCTCAAGGGGAGCCCTTGTCCGTGGGGCATTAGAGATGGGCTCCCCTCTCCAGCCCAGCAGGACCCCACCCCAGCATCTTCTCAGCCATTATCAATACCATAAAGACAGTAGGACACTGCTGCCACAGGGTGAATGGGCAGGCGGGGGAGGGGGGCAGCCATTGCCAGGTGGGCTGGCAGCAAAGGCTGTGAGTAAGGCTGGCTTCACCCTGAGAGTGTTGGGGGTAGATGTGCTGGGCGGGCTGGTAGCCCCTGGGCCTTTCAGAAAGACTGGCTTAGCAGGGAAGCAGGAGCCTTCCTACCTCAGATAGCCTGGGGGAAGGGAAGCCCAGTGCGCAGGGCCCTCACCTCCCCAAGAGCTTTGCCACAGGCTCTTACCTCAGCTTGGAAGCTTTTCAGCACGGGGGCCACCATCTCTCTGAGTCCCTGAAAAAGAGATGAAGGAGGGTCTTCCACAGAGCCCCCCCCAAGCCCACCCCAGCAGCACCTCTCACCATCATCCTCTGTGGAGGCTGAACTGTGGTTTCGTAAGGAACACACGAACAGGCACACGTACACGGCCCAGGTTTTGTCTCTACAGTGCTTTTCAGAGCCTTTAATGTCACAGCATTGGGCATTCTGCAGAGGGAGGCAGGATGGCTCTGGGCACGGAACGAAGAATGCCAAGCTCCACGCTGGGACTACAACCCCAGTCCTCAGCGTTTTGAGACGGGGTCTTGCTATGTAGCCCAGGCTGGTTTGAACTCATGATCTCCTGCCTTAGCCTCCTGAATATTACAGTTATGGTTTTCATGATGTCTTTGCAGGTGGCATGGTTGGCCTGTGGCTTAGCTCAGGGGAGCAGGAGCTGGAGAGCTGGCCCTGATCCTCCACTCTTAGCTCTAGGTGGAAAATGCCCCCCCCCCAGGAAGTCCCTCTGTCCTTCCAAGTACGGCATGGGCTGCTTTCCCTGCATGGCCATCTCCCATGAATCGGGACTTGCATTTCACCAGAAGTCACACCATCCCTGTCTGTCCTTCCTCATCAGAGCATGGAGTGGTTTCCAGGGCTGTGGTTGTGTAGGTTGTGTAGCGGTCCATTACATTACAGACCAATGACTTCACCAATGCTGTGAGCACGCAGGTAGGCTCTGCTATACCCACCCGGATGTCCCAATTTCCCCAGACCAGACCCCAGGGGTGGCCTCTGGGGCTCCCCCAGCACTCAGCTGAGGTGAGTGTCCCAAGGCACTAACCCTGAAGCCTGTGGGTCCTTCAGGGACCCACTGGGGATCCTTCCTCCTGCCACAACCAGGCAAAGCAACAAGGAAAACTCCAAGCAAGGAGTAGAGGGACGGAAGTGACGGCAGGGAAGTAGGGGGCTGGAGGGTATGGGGAAACCCACAGCCATGGGGACATGTCCTGCTATTTCTCCCCATGGACAAGGCTCCTGCTCTGGTCCCCGCTACCCCTCCACACTGACTTCTGTCTCTGGGACTTCCCAGAGTGGCTGCTGCCTAGGTGTAAGGTGGGTTTTTAGGGGACACACAGTGCCCGTGGCTTTGGTTTCAGGAGCCAGGTTGCCAGGCTGAGCGGCAGAGGAGTTAAGAGGCTCAAGTTCATGGTCCCAAGCCTAGATGCACAGAAGCAGGAAACCACCAGGATGAGGTGGCCTGGTACCGCAGCACTGATTAGAGGGGCTGGTACTGGGGACAGAGACTGAGCCTTGGGCAGGAGGGTGGATCCAACTGCCTCAGAGGAAACACGGGGAACTGACACAAAGTTAAACTTTTCAGGCCAAAAGCCTCCGCGGATGTTATAAAGGGGTACCAGGGCCCACGGGTGCTGGTCTGTTCAAAGTGACATGGCAATCCGAGAGCCATGAGATGGGGAAGTAGATGGGTGCCCCGTCAAGAATGTGTAAGTCCTAGGGGGAACCAGGCAGGCCACATGCAGTAGGTGGACTGGACCCCCAGAGGATGCTCTTAAATAAAGTTATCACGACTCTCCCATCAGGAGGGATGAGCTCCCAACAAGAGAGTTTCCAGAGCCATGACTATAATAGGAGTGGAAATTTATCCCTTCTAATTATGTAATTGCATAATTATGTAGCATTGAAAATTATGTAAGTCAAACTCGCAGGCTGAAAACCTGGCCTGGATTTCCCTCCTCACCTGAAGGCTCCCGTGTGAAGCAACGGTTAAGGGTAAGTTCACTATGCTGGGGGAGAGAGGACAAGACAGACGGTCTGAGAGGCCCAGAGAGAGAAAGGAGGTGTGCGGGGCTATGAAGACCTGCAATGGATTCAGCTGTGCTTCCCAGAGAAGGGAGGGCGAGGGATATGGCTCAGTTTGCAGAGTGCTCGCCTAGCATGGGCAAGGCCCCAGGTTCCGCCTCAAGTGTCACATAGGCGGGGTGTAATAGTGCACACCTGTAAGCCAGCTCTTGGAAGATGGAGGGAGTAAGATCGGAAGTTCAGGTCCTTCTCAACTGTATGAGGAGTTAAAGGCCAGCCAGAGCTGTGTGTGACCGCGTCTCACAAAGACCTCACTGAGCTTGTTGAGCCACGACAGCAAGACAGCCCCTTTCCTGTACACACCTGCTCACAAGGCTTTATGGGTTACCCCAGAAACAAGTTCTAGCTGGGCCCTCATCCCAAAACTTGCCCTGAGGAACCACAGTTGCTTATGACACCCCCACCCCCAACCATCCTCCCAGGACACCTGTCAGCCCCGCCCGCTGCCCTCTGTGATCCAGCACACCCCAGCAAATGCAGCAGTGACTGGCAGAGGCTGCGGCTGCTGGCTGGAGCTGGGGCCTGGCCCTGGGTCTGTTGCCTGCACTCAGAGCATCTAAGTGACACAGGGCTCAGGGGCTCCATTTTGCTGTTTATTGTTGTCACTTTTCAAATTTTATTTTATCTTATTTGCTTGTTTCTTTGTTTTTCGAGATAGGGTTTCCCTGTGTACACAGCTCTAGCTGTCCTGGAATTTGCTCTGTAGACCAGGCTTGCCTGGAGCTCACAGAGATCCACCTGCCTCTGCCTCCCCAGTGCTGGGATTAAAGGTGTGCACCACCATAGACTGCCCGGCTTAAATTTTATTTTATTTTTTTAATTTGAGAAGCAACAGGGGTCCTGATCGCAGAGGGAAAATAAAATTCTCACATTGAGCCTCAGAAAAGAACAGGCACATGTCCAGGCCGGTCTGCTCCTTAGGGGACAGGGAATGGTTTTCCTTTGCCTGGGCATTGCTACATCTGAACCAAGCCTGGGGGAGGGGAGGGGCAGGTTTCAGAGCCCTAGTTATGTCTCCTAGGCCCAGGGCAGGCAGAAGACGATCCAAACTTCAGGCCCAATTGTCTTTGCCATCAAATGCCAACCATTTCACCAAAGAGCCGCACTTGGACTGACTGCAAATCCAAGCTGCCAGAGTGATCTGGGTGAGGACACTGATAGTCCCTAACTCCACTCATCGTGCTGGGGAGCCCCTCCCCCAACACTGTGAAGACTGCCAGGCCAGGGCTATGATTTATCTTTGTGGCTAATTAGCTTCTTTTGTTGTTAGTTACTTATGTCTACAGTCTTCACTATATAGTTTGAACAGAGTGGGAGAGAAAGCAAGCTGCATTCCTTCTGAGTTAACGCTGTAGCGGCAGGCACACTACCTCTGGCACATTTTTCTTAAATTCCCGGCGGAGTTCAATTAAACGTTTAGGAGAATGCTCGCTTTCCTCCTGTGGCACGGACAGCTCCCAGGCGATGGAATTAAGCTCCTTCTGTAATGAGAGAGAGAGGGAGAGGGAGAGAGAGATTTGTCCTCTTCTCTTTGCTTTTGAATTGTTGTAAACGCAGCACTCAGAACAAGTTTTCATAACTCACAGGGCTGAGAAAAGGCTAGATATTGACTCCTGGCATGAATAAAAAAATGTAAAAACAAAAAGCCCCCCCAAAACAAACAAACAAACAAACAAAGGGATGAAACAAACAAACAAACAAAAGACCCCCCGGGACAGGGTGGGTGCCTCATTGTCTCATTTTCGGCTCCTTAGGAGCTGGGCCAGATAAAGTTAAACTGAGGTTTTTATCGCCTCCCAATCTCCCCACCCCAGTCCCACCTCTTAAATTTCCAAGGAGTGATGGCATAAGCCTGTCAGTAACTGAAGAAAACATCTCCAAAGCGTGTCAAAATAGCGGCGCGCGGCATATTGTATGGGCACTTTCCCCCGCGCGCGAGTGCTGCCGACAGCTTCCATACATCAGCGGCGGGCGCCGCTCCAACTCCTGCTTTCTCCCTTAAAGGCTCATAAATTCGCCTTTTAAGATATAGATGGCTTTTTAATTCCAGTAGATTTTGGAAAAATGAAGGTGCCTTAGAGAAGCACACTGACCTCGAGTATACCCCGCGGTAAATCACCGAAGGTTCCCAGAACCCTTGCCGACGGAAAAGAAACAAATTGGAGTTGGGGGGGGGGGGAGCGGCGTTGCTAGCCTGACTGTGAGCACTCAGGAATCAGGCCAGGGTTTGGACTCATGAGACCAGGAATGGAGGGGGGGGGATGAAGGGGGGGCATGCACCATGGATGGGGCTGCTGCTGCTTGTATGTGCCTGGTCGCTTCTCTCAAAGCCTTCTTTGCCATCTCAAGCTTTCACAGGAGGGATACAATTCACCAGCCACTGTCATGATTCATTTGCATAATTCAAGGAGCGCTCTGTTTATGTGGCCTGCACCGGCTGGCACTGACTTGAGACGGGCTCCTTTTTTTTTTTTTTTTCCTGGACGATAACTCGATGAACCCTCCTGCATACATCACCCGATTATATTTGCAGCAATCAAGCCCCATAATTTCCTAAATCCGGTGGCGCAATAAATTCCTGCAATCAGATTTATTAAAAACCGCGCACGCAGATGCGGGGAGCGTATTTCCAGGGCGAACTCTTTAATCCAACATATGTATGACGAGGTGCGGCAGCGTGCTGAAAGACCCCATTTGTCACCGCTAATACACATTCGTCTTGCACACACAATGAAACCCTTTCACTGTTAGATAATGAAATAAAAGTACTGTTAACCCACTGCAGAGCCTTTGTGAAAGCCGACTGGTGTCTGAAACGCTGGCTCGCTGGCAATTTACTGTAGTGCCACAGACCTGGTCCCCCAAACCTGCAAGGACAGCCTCTGGGCCCTGGAGCTCTTTTGGGAGGGGAACTCAAGGAGGGATGTCTATTTCTATAGAAAACAGCTAACTTTTGGAGAAAATGGGGAGGGGGGGGCGGGAGGCCGCACCCACCGTCACTGCCTAAAACCTAGGTGAGGGCGGTGATGCTCTCCAAGGTGCTGAAACATTCCCACATCAGCATGAGGCAGGGCCACCTGGGGGCTCAGTCCAAAAGCCTTGAGGAATTTTGAGCTGAGTGAGGAATGGAATCTAACAATGGATAGATCTCTAATGGTAGCTCTAATGGATCTACCAATAGTTGATAGGTCCAGGAGGATAAGGCCCTCATTAGGCAGGAGAGAAAAAATCCACTGAATATATTTTTTGCTCTACTGCAGGACACAGAATGGAATTTGGGATGAACTACTGGGCCCTGGACTATTCTGTATCTTATACTGTGAGTTTTATGAGCTCTTATTTATAAATTTTGGAGTCCAGGCTGCTGATAAGTCACAATGCTCCTGCCTCAGCTTCCTGAGTGTTGGGATCACGGATGTGCACTCACACACCTGCAGGTATGAGTTGCTATCCTGGGGACAGGACCCTCAGCCTCTCCACACAGTCACTATTGGTATCAGTGCTTAAAGCCAGGCTCTGAATTCTTCAACCAGGGGCTGGAGAGATGGCTCTGTTAGATAAAAGGACTGCTGTGCAAGCGGAGGACTGGAGTTCAGATCATTAGCACCCACATTAAAGCTGGGCAGGCATGGTGGCCTGCTGGTAACCCCAGATGGGGGAATCCCTATCCAAGCCGGACTGTCCAAGTGTGTAAGCTTGGAGTTCAGTGAGAGACTATGTGGAGCCATTGAGGAAGACACATTTGTATGAGCACACACACTTGAGCATACATACATACATACAAGAATGCAACACACACACACACACACACACACACACACAGACATACACACACACAGACACACACAGAGACCTACCTAACACAGGTTATGAAAGGTAACAGCCTTGCAGGGGACATCTGGCTGCCAGTGTGTGAACCTCAGGGCCCTCCCTCTGTCTGTACATCCCTGGTTGCTGGTGGGTGCGGATCTGACCAGCTGGGTGCCTGCTGCCTGTACCAACACAAAGCAGGGCCAGGCCAGGCAGGAGACATTAGCAGCTCCCAGCCCTTGACACTACAAGCCCAGCTCTCCTACACAGACCTGAAGGGGCAGACACTGTCACAGATGTGCAGACCATGCTCTCCTCCACTCTGCCTCATTGATGCATCTCCTTCAACCTTGAATTCTTTCAGTGTTTCTACAGTAAATATGCAAGCACCAGTAGTCATGACAATAAGCACAATAACCCTAACTACCATTTATTGAGTGCTTATGTGTCCCGGTCACCAAGATAGGCTCCTAAGGTCCATCGCCCTGTGCAATGAGCACAGTGACATTTCTTGAGAGGACTCAGGCAGGGGTTAGGAGGTGAATAATAGGCCGTCCTAATAACTGAGGTGCGGGTAGCTCCTTGGTGGACTCTGAAGGCAAATTTTCAATGCCTTGCTTTCCAGCTGTCCTTGGCTCCCTTTCTCTATCGGCTGGCGGTGTTTGGGGGAGATGGTTTTAGATAATTCAAGATCATAAATGCACCCCTGCCAGAAGTACAGTAAACACTGGCTGATATTCATCTCCTCCTTAGACACACCGTGGGTACAGAGGACACCCTGCTAGGTACACACACACACACACACACACACACACACACACAGAGAGAGAGAGAGAGAGAGAGACAGGGTGCCAGAGACATTAAAACGGATCCCCTTGTACTCTGAAAGAATGGGCGCTTGAAAATCAACAAACCAAGAAATGGAACGGACAATGGGCTTTTAAAATAAACACGTAGAAAAGCCCTCGGAACTATATTTATTTCAAGGGATCAGAAGAACTAGTCTCAGAAACATAAGCCAGTCTCATTCTCAAGTCCGGCTTCAAAGATGCCCTGCACCCTGCATGCGGCCGCAGCAGCCCCACTTCGGCAAGACTATCCTGTCCAGCCCCAGCCATGATCCACACAGTCCCAGACTTTGGGCCAGGCCCAGGCAGTGAGGAGACACATGCGATTAACCTAACTAGCCATCAGCAGCAGACAGACAGCCCGGAGCCCTGCACAGACCATTCAAATAATGATCCCCATAAACAGCCCATTTGCAACTAAAAAGAGATAATTTTAATGAGCTGGGAGCAGATGATAGAAGCAGCTGAGACCCGGAGCCAGCAAGCAGGGAGAGGGGAAGCTGGGGGGGGGGGCTGCACCAGGGGCTCTGCTGCTGCTCTGTTTCCCCATGCTTGCCACTGCTTGGTGTGTACCACAGCTCTGGATGGTCCTGCCATCCCATCCCCGCCCCAAGACTTCCAGGGCCTCAGAACACATGAGCCACCACCAACCTCATGGCCTTGAGTCCAGAAACATGTCCCTCCGCATGACTTTGATCACAATGCTACTCCACTTGAACTGTCTATATTTTATATATACATAGCCCAGGCTGACTTCAAACACATTATGCCCACTGTGTAGCCCAGGCTAGCCTTGAACTACCAACCTCCTTGTGCCACCTTCTCGGAGCTTGGATTACAGGTGTGTGATCCCACAGCTGGTCTGGTCTCTATTTATCGTCAAAGAACACCTGGAGTTATCTCTGATTTGAGATTTCTTTGAGCCAGGATGCTATGATGTAGGCCAGGCTGATCTCAACCTTGGGTCCTCCTGCCTCGGTCTCTTTCAAGTATTGAGATTATATGGTTATACCGCCATGCCTGACTTAGTGTGTTCCTTTTGATGCATAACTCTTAAGTTCAACACTACACTCAACAAATCTTTTTTCATACCACATATCTGCTGTCCAGGCTAAGATTCGGGACATTTGTGTTTCTAGCACATCCTGTCCCAACACACGCATCCAGCATCTGGAGCTGCTAAAAGTTACCTAGCATCATAGCTTGGTTGTTTCTGGTCTTTAAATAATGACATCTCTCTTACTTCACTAACTGGTTATGGGAAGATGGCTTGGTGGATACAGTGCTTGCTACAACACACACACACACACACACACACACACACACACACACACACACACACGGACATGAATTCAGATCTCCTACAGCCGGTAAAGAGCTAGGCATTAAGGCTATGTACTTCTGTAACCGGGTCACCAGCCATCGAGCAGTGGGCAGAGACAGGTGGATCCTGGGAGCTCATGGCTAGCTTGTCTAGCCAATCAAAGAACTCCAGGCTCAGTGAGAGACCATGTTTCAAATCATGTGACATAGAACCAGTGTGGTCATACAATAAAATTACCCAGCATCACTGTCTTCCAATGAAAGGTTCGGGAGGGGACCTCAGATCACTGACTGGGCCTGTATGTCAGTACCTGTAGAATGCCTGGTGCAAAAGGGACTTTCGAAAAATATCTGCAGCCGACCTGTCTGTGCAGTAAACGTGAGATGTGCCCTTCGGCAGCAGCCATCAATTAATCTGTGGGACAGATGAATGTCCACTCTGTATGACAGGTCTGTGGAGCCTGGGGACATGGGCCCAGGAACACCAGAGGAGCAAGCCT